ACATATGGGCATCTCGCGCTCTGCATCTGTGTCATCAGTCTCGTTTTCTGTGGATGCCTGCGTGTGTGTACATGTGTGTGTGTTTAGGGCCAGGCGCTGGGAACAAACGTGCATCTGTTAAATTTGACAATCAAGTCGTACAGCGAAGCTGCCAAGATTGGGGCGGTGGGTGGGGGCGGAAGACAGGGGGGTGGAGGAGAGCTAAACTCTCAAAAGGCGAGGCCAAAGCGCCTGGCCCAGGTATTATGTTGGGGGAAGGTGAGGAGAGCAGCTGCTCCTTCTCTCGGGGTGTGTATGGGAGCGAGGGTGCATGTGTCCCTGTGAAGAGTACACACCGATCTGCTCAACATATGTCGCCACAAATCACAGTATCTCTCCCTCCTCCCACCCCCCGCTCCCGGAGGAGCTCCTGACAGAGCGCAGAGCGGAGAGGCGCTGAGAAGCGGCGCCGCTTCAACAGGTGTCTTGGTGCGCAATGCACCTTTTCAAGCATTGACGGTCTCCGCCGCCGGCAGGAATAATGTGGACACTTTGTTTCCAGGCGCCGCGCGCGAGCTGCGAACGCCTGGGGGAGGCAGCCCTAAGCAGGGAGGGGGGATCTGGAAATAAAGACCTCGGGCGCTCCTGAGCGCCCGAGCCCTCTCTTCCCTTTGTTCAAAGACTCCCTGGGCCGGAGCTCCCTCGTGCGCCCTGGGGGGTGGCATATGGCGCCCTCTCACCTACCCAAGAAAAAGAACCAGCCACCCATTCAGGAGCGCAAGAGGTCCCTGAGCCTGGGGGGGGGGGAGTCTCGGAGGAAACGGCTTCTCTCCGAAAATGGGTGAGGAGCCCGCCTTATCTCTCCCCACCCTGCCTCCACCATCCCCTCAGCTGGCGCAGCAGCCGTTGGGTGGGGAGCTGCGCGCTGGGCAGCACCAGCCTGCGGAAGCGCTCCAGCTCCTGGCAGATGAAATATGGGTCTGGTGAGCCCCTGGAGACCATATGCTTTCAATAAAAAAAGACAAATAGGACCGAGATAGGCCTTGCAGCCAACCTGTTATAAATGAGTGGCAATTGGGCCAATGTACACGGGGGCAGGGCCCCCAGGGGGAGGCCTGCTCGGTGCCAAATCCATGTGTCAGCTTCTAGGACAGGTGTGCCCAGGGGCCAGGGGCCAGGTCTCCCCCCTCCGGGTTTATCACGGCAAAGGTAATATTGTGCTAACTATGAGTAAACAGTCATTGTGAAAATGAGGGAGAGTTTATCAGAGGCGAACTAGTTGGGGGGTGGCTTAACAATAAAGTTGTTCGCCTTAGGAGCAGGTGATGGCTGGCTGCACGGACTCCCGCAGTAGATGTTTTCCAAAGCACTCCACTTTACAGTCTCTTGTAATTATTTATTAAACGAAATCTATTTATTATTATTTTAGCAAACACTGGAGACAGGTGGGGCTTTCTTTTCGTCGTCTCCTTTTGTTTGAAGGGCTGTTTGAAGTGGCCAGTCTCGGCCCGGGCAGCTCGCTCGCCAGATTTTTGTCTTCCCCTCTTTCAGTGTGGAGCTGAAGGCGAGAGAAAGGATCCCCCTCCTCTGGCAAGCCATTAGCTATTCAGCTTCCCATGGCCCCCTCCTTCCCTGCACAATTCTCAAAGAGCCCCCAGGCAATGCTAAAAAACTACCCCCTCCGACTAGAAGGCAGGAGGGCTGGCCGCTGCCTGCCTTCTCTTCCAATATGCCCGCGGTCTCCAGGCGTCTGGCTACCGCCTTTCTCCTGAGCCCCTTAAGCTTCTAGGCAAACTTTGATCTCAGGGGACGGAGAAGTGCGGGAGTTCCGGAGGTCTTAGGGGCAGTGGATGACCAGGACCTACAGGAACAGACACTGCTCTCTTCGGGAAGAGCCATTTCGCAAACACTGCTGGTGCGCACGGAGTCATCACCGCCTGCGCCTCCGCAGCCAAAGGCACAGGAATTAACTTTGGAGAGGGGTCTGTGCGCCCTTGCAGCTGAGAGAGAGGGCTTGGATCCTCAATCTCTAATCCCCTAGGACTCCTCGACTTCCTGCCCTGGCCTCCTGGCCTGAGGAGGGCTGCGGAACGTCCTTGCGTCTCTCAAGAAGGCGGCTGCCCCCAGACGCCGTGCGCTCCCCGCCCTGCTTTTTGCGCAAAGCAGGCGTGATGGAGACCTGCAAGCCTTGGACGGCCCTGAGCCGGAGAGGTTCAGGGGAGGCTGGATAAGAATTCCAAGCAGGTCCTAGAATTCTCTACCTATCAAGAAAGCTTGAAAGAATCCCCAGAGACTTTCCTGGAATGGGAAGCTCGCCCTGCAAACCTTGTCCTTATCCATTAGCCGCTCCAAGCAGACCCCAGCTAGAGCGAGACCCACCCTTATCTGAGGTCCACGCAAACCCATCTGAGGTCCACCGCCAGATAAAAGTTTCGCTGTGGGAGGTTCTTCAGGCCTCTGGGAAACCAGAGCGATGCCCTCATGGTCAGGGTTCCCTCCATGGAGCTTAGCCAGGTCAGGAGGCCCTAGAGGAGCATGGTTTGGATTTTTTCCTCCCAAATCAAAAAAGCTTTAAGTTAGTTCTCTCCCAGTTTCTAATTCGCAGGTGAATAAATCAAGCAAGGCTGGGGTATGAGGCAGATAAGTTTGAAGAGGAGAATAAGAAGGAGGAGGAGGAGGAAGAAGAGGAAGAAGAGGAGGAAGAGGAGGAGGAGAAAGAGGAGGAGGAGGAAGGGCAGGAGAAGGAAGAGGAGGAGGACGATGAAGAGGAGAAGGAGGAATGGACACTGGCTCCCCTTGCCTGGAAAATGGACCATTACACCTTTTCTAATCTGACCCCTAGACCCAGGACTACTTCTATTTTTTGCATTTTGGGTCTCTTGTTTTGCCTTGAAAAAAAAAAAAAAAAAAAAAAGTTTTTCCCCAAATCAAAGAGCGGTAGCTGGTGCAAGGGAAAATCTGGGACTAGGAGTCTTAAGATATGACTTCTATGTGGTCCAGCTAGAAATTGCTGTGCGACCTTGAGAGAGTCACTCCCCCTCTCTGGGCCTTGACTTTTTCATCTTTAAAGAGGGCCTGGAATTCCTATTCCCACACAAGAAGACAAGTTCCTAGCAAGTGGTGACCTACAGAGAGGAGCTGCAGCAAATGCTAACCGAACAGTCCCAGGGGGTCCCTTTGTTGGTTCTGACCCTGGCCTCAGGCTTTATTTCCCCACAGAAAGGGAAGGAGCCTCTGCTCGCAGAGCACCAGGTAAGACCAGCAGGACCTCACCACACCCCCGCCCAGTCCTTGACTCCCTCTTGCTGATTCCTGGGCATATTGCCCTCTTCCTTGGAGGAAAATTTGCCTCCCAAGCAGCCTGGGTGGTAAGAGGCTATCACTAGGGCAGGCTCACAGACCTACCTCTTCCCCTCACCCCACCCTTCAGCACCGCAGTTGGGTCCTGTACCCTCCGGCAGTTTCTGGAAGACTCAGGGTATCTGGACCTAATAGAATATGAAGCCTTCATCGCCTAAGGACACTTAAACCAGGAGACTTCACCCCCAGCCTCGGCTTCTTCCTCCAGGCACGACCGGGTCAAGAGAGAGAAGCGGAAGCTGCAACCCCTCACCCTGAGTGACCGGAAGCAGAAGACCACGGGGTGTCCCAGGCGGGGACAAGAAGGATGGGCTGGGGAAGAAAGGAGGGATGATGCATTCAGACTCACTTTGGAAAGATTTCCAGAGAGCGCTACCAGGGACAACCCGAGGGCCTTGGAGAGTTCCTGCCCTGTGCTCGCTGTGCGATGCCTGAGTTTTTCCGAGGCAGGGGGCTGGAGCAGGTGACTGCTGGCAGCCGCTGTCTGTCTGCTTCTAGTGCCTGCACACCGTGGTGATTCAAAATACACAAGGGGGAGGGGCACAGTGGCTCTGTTTCCCAGCACTTTGGGAGGTTGAAGTGTAAGGAACGCTTGAGCCCAGGAGTTCAAGACCAGCCTGGGCAAGAAAGCAAGACCCCCGTCTCTAAAAAAAAATAAAGATAAAAAAATTAGCCAGGCACAGTGATGCACACCTGTGCATCAGCTACTCGGAAGGCTGAGGTGGGAGGATAGCTTGAGCCCAGAAGATCAAGGTTGCAGTGAGCCGTGATTGCACCACTGCAGTCACACTTGGGCGACAGGAGACCCTGAAACACACACACACACACACACACACACACACACACCCCACACACCTCACTTCCCAGAACTCTTCCTGTCACAATTCCTAGCCAGAACCCTGGGATACTATCCACAAGTTGTAGTAATGGAATGTCCCCTTGAGGGGTCCCCCACAGCCAGCTTCTGCCTCTGGAGTGGGATCTATGGGGGTGGGGTTCTAAGAGCCTCTGGAGAGTGTGAGGTAGCATATCAGGCTATAGCAGAGGCTTGGACACCCTCAAAGAAGGTCTGTGCATGGAAGGAACATAGGCTGTGTCGCTCTCCCTGATATGGCCCCTGACTTCCCTTCTAAGTTGAAGAGAGGCAATTCTAAAGAGCACCAGGAGAACAGGGTGCCCTTTAGAATTCCTGGACCCTTCTCCAGGCTGCTAGTCAGGACAACAAGCTCCTGATTGTCTCTGCCACTACCTTACTGTGAGATTTCAGACTAGTCATCTCCCTCACTGAACCTAAATTTCCCCTTGTCTAACGTGGGGGCATTGTACCCTAGAGGCGTCAAAGTCCCCTCCAGGACAGATGCCAAGGTAAGATAGCTAGGAGCAAAGCGGTCTGGAGTGGCCTGAGGAGAGCCACACAAGGCTCTTCTCGCTGGGCGAGGCTCTTTGAGGAACCGAGAGTTGCTGGGACCCAGCCCGCGGCGAGAGAGCAAACAGAGCGGCACTCCCCTCCCCCGACCTCGGCCCTTTGTCCAGAATCCAGCTGTGCCCTGCAGGGGAGGAGCGGGCTCGCGTGGCGCGGCCCCCGGGCCCTGGCGCTGATTGGCCGGTGGCGCGGGCAGCAGCCGGGCAGGCACGCTTCAGGCCCGGGCCGAGCAGATAAAGCGTGCCAAGGGGCACACGACTTGCTGCTCAGTAAATCCCCGAGGTCTCCCCGCCGCACCAAGAGAGAGGGCGACAGAGGCCCGGGACCCCATTCGCTCTTTTATTCTTTGGGGCTGGGGCAACTCCCAGTCGGGGGCGCCTGCAGCTCAGCTGAACTTGGTGACCAGAAGCCTGCTCAGCTCCCCACGGCCCTCGCTGCTCACCGCTCTCTATTATTTTGCGCCGGTAGAAAGGTAACATTTGGAGGTCGCCAAGGGACGAGCGGGGGAAAAAGGGATCCTCTGACCCGGCGGGGGCTGGGAGGATGGCTCTTTTTGTTTTTTCCCACCTAGCCTCGGAATCGGGGGCTGCGCCCGGTGACCAACGCAAGCTTACCCTTCCCTCTGACCCCGCCGCAGGATGGCGCCTCATCCCTCGGGTTCGCCTACTGTCCAAGTGACCGGTGAGACGGAGCTGCCCTTCCCCAAAGCCTTGGACGACGAAGTGACCTGCGCCACGTCAGCCCCGCCCAGCCCCACTCTCACGCGGGGGAACTGCGCGGAGGCGGAAGGGGGAGGCTGCCGAGGGGCCCCAAGGAAGCTCCGGGCGCGGCGCGGGGGGCGCAGCCGTCCTAAGAGCGAGTTGGCACTGAGCAAGCAGCGACGGAGTCGGCGCAAGAAGGCCAACGATCGCGAGCGCAATCGGATGCACAACCTCAACTCTGCGCTGGACGCGCTGCGCGGTGTCCTGCCCACCTTCCCAGACGACGCGAAGCTCACCAAGATCGAGACGCTGCGCTTCGCCCACAACTACATCTGGGCGCTGACTCAAACGCTGCGCATAGCAGACCACAGCTTCTACGCGTTGGAGTCGCCTGCGTCGCACTGCGGGGACCTGGGCAGCCCAGAAGGCGGCTCCCCCGGGGACTGGGGCTCCCTCTACTCTCCAGTCTCCCAGGCTGGTAGCCTGAGCCCCGTCGCATCGCTGGAGGAGAGCCCCGGGGTGCGGGTGGCCACCTCTTCTGGCTACTTGCGCCCAGGCACTATGGCTTTTTCAGATTTTCTGTGAAGGGCCCTGCTGGTCGCTGGGCTGTGGGTGTTAAGGGTAAAGGAGAGGGAGGGAGGCGGAGCCGTCGAGGGTGAGTGACGGCGGCCCTCAAGAGCACTTGTTCCTTCTGCTTTTCGCTGGCTGAACCCTAGAGGACCCACGAGGGCGGCAGGCTGGGTTCATTCCCGGGCCCTCCGAGCCGCGCCAACTCACGCAAACCTTGCTGCTGCCCTCACGAAGTGGGCATTACAAGCTGAGCTCATTTTAGGCCTCCTCCCTGCCACCACCCCAAAATCTCATGCAAAGTATATGAGAATGATAGCACTACCCGGCCGGAGCCGCCCACCGTCTCGGGTGGCCCCACCCGCGCTCGAGTCTGTCTGCCTCTCTGTCTCTTACCACCCCTCCTCCAAAGTTATTCAATCCGATGTTTGGTCTCTTAGCGCTTGCTCCCTTTGTCCGGCTCCAAAGACGCTGCCGATCTTCTCCTCTACTCCCAATCAGGTCCTGGGTTTCAGAGCGCTTCACTCTGCCTTAAAGCCAAGAAGGCGATCCTCTGCCTTCTCCTCGTGCACTTTTCGGAGCCATTGCCCTCCCGGGGCGAAGACCAGGCTGTGAACTGGGAAAGCGCTAGCAGGGCCAGGGAGCACCTCCCCAGCCTCCTTGCGAACTGCACCTGAAACGTGAGCGGCGCTGCAGGTGCCTGGAGCACCAAGCATCTTTTTTTTTTTAATCGGTATGTAAATTATATGATGTCTTTAGAAATGAATTTTGGTACAGTAAATTATATGGCCCCTCCCCCATTTTACACAATTGTACTTATTAATGAGATTTCACCGCAGGGAAAACTCTATATTTTGCATATTAGATTATTTAGGGATTGCTGGATGAGATTTTAAGCCAACAAAAAAAAGGTGGGGACCTTCAAGAAGGCTCAGCAAGGTGACTCCATCGTGCCCCAAGAAGAGGAGGGTCACAGTCACTGCAGCTAAGGAAGAGCCCCTCTGTCCAAGCAAGGAGAGGGATGACACTTTTTCCGGAGGTCTGGGCCAGAGGCAGGGCAGATTGCATTTGGAGTGATTGAAGTCTTCTGAGTAATTATTGATCCAGCCCCTTTTTTTTCTATATGGGGCAATGACTCCTTTTATTTCAAAGAGCAGTTTAGAAGAAAGACAAGCCTCCAACTAGGACTACTGACTCTCTTTGCGGGCTCCTTCCCCAGTTCCACCAGCCTAGCTCTAGAGCAACTGTTGGTTGCACTTGTGGGAGGGAGACAGTAATAATTCAATTGCAGTCAGAGTCCTCGGAAACACAACTGCCAGGCTGAGCGTCCTAGGAATTTTCCCAAGGTGCTTTGAGGCCTAGTACATTCCCCAAGCATATTTTACTCCCCGGGCACTGGGGTGACTGTGTCTTAAATTCATGAAGCTGAGCAGCCAGGAGCAAAGAAAGCGGAGTGTCTGCTTGGAATCTCTGGCAATGCCTCCACCCTCATCACCTGGAAGACTTGATTGAAAACTTACCAAGAAACTGTTGAAGGTTTCCAGCCACACTATCTCTCTGTCAAGGTGAAATAGGACTAGTCAGCATGGGGACTGAAATCAGTTCCAGGGGTGCCAATAGAGCACCCCTATATGACCTCAGGGACCCCCTAAGACCTCAGAGAATATGATCTAAGCTGTAAGGATCCACAGAATTTGCCTGCAGCTTGGGAACAGGAAAGTGGAATGCGGGCACCCTACCTGCTAGTTGAACTCCAGAGGCCTTCTTGAGTCAGCCAGGGATGTCCTGAAAAGAAGTGGGCCAACCCAGCTCCCGGGAGCTGGTGGAGAGGTTGCTTTTCCAGCACATTAGAGTGCAAATGTGGTGTCTTCTCAGGGGTTAATGCCTCTTGCATCTCTCTTTTTCTCCTCTGCCCTACCCAATTCAAATTGAAATTTTCCTCTTCTTTATCACAAACCTCTAAAGTTAGCTTGGAGGAGACTTGTCTCAGTTATCAGGGGCAGGATTTGGGGGCGGGAAGAGGGACATAGCAAACAAACGAATGAACGAAGGTGTTGTTTCATTTTGTGGCTTTAATCTGAGAGGAGATTAATGGGTTATTGGTAACCTCTGCAATAGCCAACTTTCCACCTGGGGCACCGCCCGGGGCCAGGTGTCAGCAGTCTGGGAGTTGCACAAACCAAGCAAACACCTGTGATTTGCTGGGCATTGGGGGGAGGAGGTGGGCAGACATAAAAATCAAAAAGGTCTCTCTGTCCTCGCAGGACAGCAGCAAGGATATAGACAAAATCAAAGCCCAAGAAACAATGGTGATTGGGTGAGGTATGAGCCACAGAATGGACCATAATACTGTTATCTTGGGGCTGGCATGCTGGGGGCTTGCAGGAGGAGACGGCATTTGAGCCAGGACTAAAGGTTTGGAGAGGAATTCTTCAAGTGGAAAGATTCTTCTTCCTGTGTAAGGCTGTGTGAGGTAGTGTTCATCATCTAGGGAGGGGACTTCCTGGGTACGAACGAACCCTAGAAGCTGGAGGAGCATTTGCTGAACTAACGTTCTCCAGGCGGCAACCGGGTGAAGTGTGTCCCACAGCCCAGTTCCTCTCCTGCTTTCGAGGGCGCTCATTAAGGAGCCATTAGTCACCCAACACACACAGACTGGTCCTCCGCCCCACAAATTAAAACACACTCGTACGGGTTAACCAACTCTGCTGCTGGGTCGCCACCTTGGGTCGGGGCGGATTAGACCCCCGGGGCTCTCAGCCCCACTCTCCAAGTCTGGAGAAGGCGGAGGAGGTTTAGGGTTTGGTTGAATCACGGAGGCAAAGTTCAGGGTTCGGTGCTGGATGAGCTTCATCTAGGTGTGTAGAATCAGGCTGGGATGGAAAACCTCCTCCATGCCTCTTTCCAAAGAACCCCTCGGCGAGAAGGGCTCGGAAACATTTCTAGGAGTGGCCTATCCAACTAGTTCTGCACCACTGCCCCCGCGCCTTCCACCTCCTGAGGGCCTTTTGGGTCCAGGGGCTTTTAAAACCGCGCTGCCAGCGGTTTCTGCCCGGAGCCCGCCTCTGCTGCGTCAGCCCGCGCTTCTCCACTGCGGATCCTCTCCTGCAGTCTGAGATCGCTGCCTGCGCCCAAGCTCCCAGAAACTCCTAACGGTGTCCGAAACCTGGACAGGAAAGGCCCTCGGGTCGAATGGCTCCTCCCTCGTCTTCTGCTTTTGTCTGAGCCCAAGACTGGCTTCCAGAAAAACAGCACATGAATCTTGCGCCTCCCCCGAGCCCAGCCGCGCCGGCACACAAGCAGGTAGATTTATGGTGCCCTGCCCCCATCCCACCCCACCCCCAGCCGGCCTCAGTAGGAGGACAAAGCGTCCCGGGGCCATTGGAATGCTAATGTATGGGAGCCAGGCCGCTGGGCTGGCACAAAGGTAGGCGGAGCCCGGGGCGCACGCGACCCCGCAAGCCCACACTATCCCTTATTTCCCTCGCGGGCTACTGGGCGGTGTGATCTTGGACAAGTCTCCTAGCCACAAGAGAAGTTGAAAGGAGTTTTTAATATCCTTTCGCTGGGTTTCTGTGTGCCTAACACAAGGCTGTGCTTGCGATGAACCACATCACAGCCCACACCTCCAAGACCGGAAGCCGCGGAAAAGACCCTTCAGGACCTGATACTAGAGACGGTGTGGGGAGGGTATGGGGTATTCACCTGAGAATGTGGCACAGAACAAGCGCTGGGCACATTGCAATTACATTTATGCAAAGAATATTCTCTGTTGTGTACCTTTTCATCTTCCGCCTTTAAGAATCCCTGCAGACAGATTTCATCAAGAGTGTGAGGGAGTGGAGAGGTGGGGTGGGGGGTGGCGACACTGCTAACCTTACTTGGCTGTTCTGCCTTCAAAGGACCGAATGAGCAGTGAGTGACTTGAGGCTAGACACTTTTTATCTCCCTTACCCTCCTGCAGACAGTGAGGTGGCCAAGGCCGTGTGGTCACACCCATGGAACAGAGATGACTTGCCCAAGGCCCTCGATCACTAGGCGAGTTATTGCAACAAACGAGGACTGACACCATGGCTCTAACAGTTTGGAACTCTTTCTTCTGTGCCCGTAGGTAGGAGTGTTGGAGACTGCGAATCAGTCCATAGTAATACGTCCTTTAGCTAGAACTGGGTTTGGGTCTTATAAGGTCCACAGGATCCTGAGCTTTGACCTCCCTGGACCTCTGACGAAGTTCCAGGCTCCTGTCTGCTGCCTCAGGATCCGTCGGCCAAGGCCGAGGAAGCGGACGCCTGCCTAGCTAAGCCTGTCTAGCAATTCCTCTGAGATCCTGACAGGCAGCTGCGCGCCCCTGACCATGGTGCTGAAACGACCGTGTAGCTCCAGCGCGAGAGATGCGTCTGGGATTGAGGCGCTCTCAAACTGAAAACTATCTATCAACCCTTTCTGCCCACGTTTTTAGTCCATAGTCCTAGGGAGGCCCCTGTGGACTTGCAGACCCAGAGGACTGTCAGGTTTCCCTAATGTGATGAGGACAGCAAGGGCTCTGTTGCTACTAACTTGCCCTTCTCTCTGTGCAACTTATGACTCCCCCACTTATAAATTATGGAGCTAGAATTAAGTAACTAGCTTAGGAACTTATGACAGCAGCTGAGAGGTCTGAGGTGAACAACTTTTGAAGTTTAAACTGAGGCAGCCCTAGCTATGAGAACTGGTTTGGAACTTTGTCCTCTATCAGGCTCTCATTCTTTGGGTTATAAGATTTAGTTATTCCAAGAACAAAGCCCAAAGAAGTCCTCCAGATGCATACTCAGGAGATCAGAGTGATTAAGAGATATGACTTTACAACACCAAAGATACAGGGTCAAGTCCCAGTGCTGCCAGAAACTAGTGGTTTTCAATTAAACTCCCTTGTCTCTCCTAAGAAACATTTTCCTCATTTATGAAGATGGGACAATAAATAGTAGCCACTTAATTGAGTTGTACTAATTAAATATGCTTATCTAGCCTTCCAAGCCTCCATAAATGGAAGTTACTACAATTAGCATCTTTATTTGCCTCAAATTCATCTCATTCTTGGCTGGGCATGGTGTCTCATGCCTGTAATCCCAGCACTTTGGAAGGCTGAGGCAGGCATATCACTTGAAGCCAGGAGCTCCAGACTAGCCTGGCCAACATAGCGAAATCCCGTCTCTACTAAAAACAAAAAAAGTAGCCAGGCATGGTGGAGCACACCTGCAATCCCAGCTACTCAGGTGGCTGAGACATGAGACTTGCTTGAACCCAGGAGGTGGAGGTTGCAGACAGCCAAAATCATACCACTGCACTCTAGCCTGGGCAACAGTGTGAGACCCTGTCTCGAAAAAAAAAAAAAAAAAAAAACTTCTCATTCTCCCCCTTTTTGGGAAGGAAAGAGCTTTTGTATGAATTTGAATTTTGTCTGTACCCCTGTGTATGGTAAACTAGGACAAAGGCCTAAAGAGTCACTCATCCTTTTTTGGGAAGGAAAGAGCTTTTGTATGAATTTGAATTTTCTCTGTACCCCTGTGTATGGTAAACTAGGACAAAGGCCAAAGAGTCACCCATGCCTTCCTGGTAACCCTACCCTTCCTGAGCTCCAAGATCAAATGTCCACATGTCCCTAGGGCACCCCAAAATGAGGAGTCCAAAATGGAGTTCCTCTCCTGATTCCCTAAGCTAATGCTGTCCCCT